CCGTTGGCGATGTTTGGTGGCCGAGGACACGTCACCTCTGGAAGGGAAAATAAATTGTCCTGTGGGTCAGCTGTTTGCCATTTTGTGTGCTACTAGGACTGTGTGAGTAATATCAGGGTAATATTCTGAATCTGCTCAGTCTTTGTTCCATTTGCCTGACCAAAGTATTAGTTAACAAAAGGTACAGCAGCACCAAGATTACAATCGCATTGCGACCGGGGGAAATTACTGATAATAAGGACAGTCCCGACAGGAGAACTCACAGGCACATCATAGGATTTGGCAGAAGATGCACATGGACATGGAAGCAGCAAGAGCAGTGAGAAGTTGTGATTACTTCCCGTTCCAGGAGGAAGATGAAAACGTCCCACATCTGACCAGAAGCAGAGTCACAGAAATCCCCCTGGGGCAGCAGATGCTGCCATCCCCGCAGCTCGCCTATGGCTCCTGAGTGTGCTGGGGAGGTTACAGCCTCCTGCTGCACAGCAGCTCAGCCCCAGGGTTAACTTCTCCCCATCCTTCTCAGAGGCCAAGACAGGGCAGGCTGCAGCCAGCCCCCTGTCCCACCCCAGCTCCTTTCTTCTGAGCTGTTTCTGTCTCTCTGAGAGCCAAGATGGCAGCACTTTGGTTTGAGAAGAGAAGCAAGGAGGACAGATGCATCCCAGCTTTGCTTTCCCACTGAATTTGAGAGGACACAAGAGGGAGCTTTCCCCCACGGCTGTCACCACTCGCACCGCGCGCTGGGACACTTGCCCTTTTTGCACACTGGCAGAGGTGGGCTCCATCTCAAGTCAGCTCTGCACGTGCTTGTGCGGGAGCCCTGCAAGGTATACCCTGTGTTGCATGCAAAGCTTACGGTGTCCCCGGTCCTGTAGAAATTGCGAGCAACGGATACTCTCTTCCCATACTGGATGTGTGGGAACGGGCAATGGGTAGCTGGAAAAGGGAGAGAAATAAAACGTTTACCCAGGCAGCTCTCAAGCTCTTCCTGCCTGTGATGGTTGCTGTGTTGATGGTGTCCATGCAGCCTGTTGATCCCTGAGCGATGGGACACGGCAGAGGCTGCAGCGGGGGCAAGTGCCCCCGGGGCTGCGGGGCTCCTCCCTGCGCTGCTGGGGGACCCCGCTGCTTCCTCAGCTGGCAAGAACTGGGTGTCCAGGATTTCATGTCAATCACCTGGTGAGGTCAAAACCTTTCATGGCCTTTCTGCACGCTTCTAACCCACGGGCTGGGAAGCACACCCACTGGGTCCGATCCAACCCAGGGAAATGCTGGCAGGACCGTCCAGGACCAAGCGAACTGCACTCCAGGGGTCTGTGCTACCAGGGGCACGCAGCCGAGCGAGAGAGCTGGGCAGGGGTGCACAGCGTGGGCTGGGGGTGCAGTGCCACGCTGCCCTCGGCACCGCCGTGTCAGTGCGGGGACGGACCCGTGCCAGCAAGGGCAAAGCCTCTTCTGCACCTTCCAAGGGACCCACCCGAGAACCGGCTAGTGTGCTTCCAGGGGTGCCGGGTGTTGTTTGCATTGAACCCCGGAGAGAGAAAGAGGGAGTCGGAGAGGCAGACATGCAGAGAGGTGGGCAGGCAGACAGACGTTCAGAACCAAAACCGCAGGGAAGTAGCTTTTTGTTCACTAGGCAAATATTTGCATTAGATATGGGAATGTAAAAAGAAGGAAAAAGAAGCACCTCTTTGCTGGTAATATCCTTTGGGTTACTGAGTAAAGGGCCACAGCTCCGTCCCTCTGAGCTGTTCAGGTGCAGCCCGTCCCTGCTGCACCCTTCGCACCCCTTTGCGCAACTCTGAGGTTGGCTTTGCTGGAGAACCACAGCTCTCCGGCATCAAACAGCACACGTAAGCAATGACAGCTGCTTCCACAAGGCTGGCAAACCTAATGCACGTACATCAGCTGAACATACAGAAAACCAAGTATAACAGAAGAAAATACGACTTAACCTTTTTACAAAGTGTTAACTTAGTAATAATTCTTTTTTTTTAATTTTTTTTTTTTTTAAAACCTAACTCAACCCTTTGCAGCCACTGATGCTTGACTCCCAGCCTGCCACTGAGCCACTGCAGCCAGCTAAGGCAGGAGGCTCAGCCTTTGGTCTCTCAAGATGCCAGTGAATAATTAACATGATTGAGGATATAGGCAGAAGTCTTCTCCATACAGCACCAAAACACTTCTCAAACCTGCTAAGGCAGCCTGGTTGTAGCACCTGCACTTACAAGAGGGGAAGGGGTAAACAAAACCATACTGCAGTGATGGAGCCGAGTTTCTGTAGGTTTTGGCTATTCTGTCCCAAACGAGGGCACCTCGGGCTACCTGCCAGGCTTTTGTGCTCTGCAGGCTTTCAGACCAAACATGCCAAACAGCACAGTCCCAATGCATTTCTGTACATCACAGCAAGTTTCAACTTGACAGAGCTCAAACACAATCTATTATTGGAACAGGCTCCTCGTCTCATTGCCGTAAGATGCTGTATCCATAACCAGCTTTACTTTGGCAGTTTAAACACACAGGCCAAGCCCCTTAGTCACAAGAAGCCGGGCAGGTTGTGAAAGACTCTCTATAGCCTCCTGTAGCAGGTTATAACTCCATTTCCCCTGGCCGCTGAAGGGCACGGGGTGGCCCTGGTGCTATCCCAGAGGGTCTTTTTCATTAGCGGAGCAGTGAAATGTGAGGCTCTGTGATGCTCAGGGTCTGGCATGGCAAGGTCCACCTGGGACCAGCACAGGGCTCCTATCTGCCTCCGCAGGGAAAAGCAAAAGGATCAGCAAGAAGAGGAGCAGCGAGGAGGAAGAGGAGGGCCATAGGAGGAAGGCACCAGAGGCACAGACCTGCTGGTCTCCCTTACCTCGAGCCCCAGATGCGGTGGCCAGGAGCAAAGCGGAGCTGCCCAGGAGGCGGAGGGCGAAGATGAGCACCATGCTCTGGTCCCCGGCACAGACTGCAGCTCCTGGGGGGGTGCGGGAAGATATGGGCACCCCAGTTCCCCCCGCATGCGGAAGGAGCCGCAGCTGCGGGGCTTCCCTGGGCCACGGGACAGGAACCCGTGGGCTCCCCGGCACAGGAACCCGTGGGCTCCCTGGCACAGGGTGGGCGCAGGAGCAGGGGAGGCTCCTGGGGAGGCTGCAGGTCCCACATGCTGCTTCTGCTGCTATTTTTGGCAGGGGACGATGGGTCCCTAGGAACTGCGTGGCCTAGGGGCATCTGTGAAAGAGGGGTGGGTGCAGGCACAGAGGTGCTGCTAGCCGAACTGTGCCCTCGGTTCAGAGCATCCTCGGTTAGGGGAAGTGGCCGGGGCTCTGCCCCAAGTCCCCAGCGGTGACGGTAGCCCTTCCCACAAACCAGCTGAAGGGGCACGGCTTGCCTGCCCAGGTACGGGAAGGGCAGAGCGGGGCATTCCCTCCTCCCACACATGTGGGACTGGCAGCAGCTGGGGACACGTCTGTCCCTCGTTTGCTGTGGGTGCTCGGGCCGGGAGGCGCAGAGTGCAGCCCAGCCCCGCACACCGCCCTGCAGCTGCGGACCCGAATCCTCCTGGGTCTCATCCCTAGGACTCATCCAAGCCGGCATCATTCCTCGCCACTGGCTGGAAGAATAAAAATCCACAGACAGGACTCTTTGACGTAGGAGCAGCCGCAGCAACCTCCAGCTCCCCACCTCCCATAGCGGAGGATGCTTTCTGAGCCTAAAACAAGCAGCCAGACATGCGTTACTCAAGTCTTTTTATCCCTCTTAATGACAGAGAGCTTCCAATATTTACATATCCAACATTTATACTTCAGAATTGCACTTGATTGGTTACACTCAGATTATAAAGTAAAATTATGTACAACTCAATTACAAACACAGTAGATAAGCCCTCTTCAATGGTAAATTTTGGTGACCACACCAGTAAGCTATGTCACAGCATTCACAGTCCCTTCCATATTGGTTGTGCGGAGATCATTTCAAGCTGATCCCCAAATCAGGTGTTAAATCATTTGGAAAACCCACTCTGGACTATGCAGTAGGAACAATTGTGTTGAGATTAAAATAACAAAACAGAACACAGCATTAAGCTACAAGGCTTTACATCTGTGTTTCGTTCATCTAGTCACTCACGTGGCTTAAGGTAAGAGATAGATAAAAATAACCAAGAATCTGCAAGTGCTTGTTCTGCAAGACTGACTTCCGAAAACGGTGCCCCAGTGACAGCTGAGCAGGATAGTGCTCTGATGGGAAGGGAGAACTTTGTGGGTCTATTTGGAACAAGACTAATGTGGCTATTTGTGGTTTTCCCTCTAATTAGATGCATGTTCCTGTTAACAGGAAAGCACTGGTGAAAATGCAGAAACAAAAAGTACATAGCAGACACATTTCAAATACTTCCCGTTCCCAACTGCGCATCATGAGAAGCTCACAGACGGGTCGTTTACCTCTGCATCAGACAAAACCCTGAACCTCAAAATCTTGCTTTACCAGCAGCTAAAAGTCCTAGTGTCTCAAGCTGGATTCAGGCAACAGCTGAATACAAGTTTAAATCCTGTCACGGTTTTGTCTCCCCTATAAATTGAATTCCCAGGAAGCCTTCAAATCTTTACTTCATTTTACAAGATGCTACATACCTCTTTAGCGAGGCTGAGTTAAAATCAGGAAAGGACACCAACACCACCATGTGGGCTTTCTATCAGCCAAACGAATCAAGGGCACTTTTGCCTGTGTCTTTGGTTTAGACGAGGCGAGTGAGGTCCCGTCATCTGAGCTGTCCTCGTGGCACCGCCAAAGCCTGACTCGAGTTGGGGACAGCACGCTTCCTCACTCACCCTCACAAACCGTGCTCAACACAACGACCAACTAGGTCAGGTTAGACAGCATGAAAACAAAGTGCACAAAAGATGCGAGGTTTGTGTCCTGTTCCTCACGGAGGAGAAAATTAAGGCTTTGCCTTGATGTGTATCTGTGCCTACTTTGGGAGCAGCGTCAGAGCAAGTCGCCCTGCGCAGCCACCCGCCAGCCCTGCCGCGAGCAGAGCAAGAGGCCAAAAACCTGCTTTTCCTCCCCAGCATCACAGCAGCCCCGAGGCGTCCTGGGGCTGAGCTGGGTTCGGGGTGCACAGCACCACCTGGAAAAGCCTTTTAAGTGCAAACTCAGACAGCAATTCCCTGCCATCAGAGTCTCCCCAGCCAGGCGGCATTTGAGCAGAAAGTGAAAAGGTTCACACGCCGCAACTTTCAGATGTTTGGTGGCATCTGCCAAGACACCTGCAAGTTCTGCATGCGGCCCGGACACCACCTGCCTGCGGATGAGCTCCGCTGCCCCTGAGCACCCACCCGGCTGGGTTCCTCCCCTCGCCACTTCGAGAGCAGCGTTGAGTCACTGCAGAGACAGGAAGGGTGTTTCCGCGAGGCGCTTGCAGAAAAGCCTCGACGTGATACAAAGACAGTGCTAGGGCAGAGACCTTCAGCTGAAGTTTAAAACTAATTTTAATACATACAGGAAGAGTCAGAATAGTAGCTCTTTGTATTAAGGCATTTTAATTTTTTTCTCTCTGGTAAAATTACCCATCTGTTAAGGATTGCTATTTGCACAACAGTTCAGACTTGCCTGGAAGTAACGGCTACAACTGCACTTTTATGTGAACACTTTCAATGCTTTCAGTACCCACAGCTAATACTCGACTTATGCATCCTATTTATATCAAACTTAATTTTTTCAAGTATATATCACTCACATGAAGACATTCACCGTTAATCCTCTCGGCAGCAGCAGCACTTTCCACTTCGGGCCAATTAAGAAACCCCTGAATCCTGATCAGGACCAGGCACAAGACCTTAGTGGGGCTGAAAAACGGAACATGTGGAGGTACCCAAAGCGCACAATTTTCTCGAGTCTACTCTATTGCAGTGCCAGGGTCTTTGGCATCATTGTGACTTAACGTGGGGATAACCACACTTGATTTCTGAACAGCGTTCTCAGCCAGGTGGCAGAGAGCCGCCCAGCTCAGCCCCGTGCACGAGCTGGTGTGTCCAACGCAACGTGCAGCTGCTGCAGCTGCAGCCAAAAGCGTGAGTGCTTCGCGGGCAGTGGCAGGGAGCGTCTGGGCTTTGTCATCCAAGGTCAGTTGGTTGCGGATTCAAGGCCAATTTCAGAGGAGGGAAAAGTAGAGCACTGGGATCAACACGATCAAGCCCAACACGTCTACAGATGGCTGTTCCCTAATCTAGACGTTCATAACCAGCATTGCCAGGAGGAGGGGGAAGATTCCTACAAGAGACAAATAAGAAGTTTCAGTCTTCACTCCAAACATATTGAACTATCTTCTCCCTCCCTGGTCCCCTTTACCTTCCCCCCCACTTTTCACAGCATGATCTTAAAGCAACAACAATATAAATCTGACAACAGACTGTAGTGGAAGGCTTTTAAGCTTATTTCAAGCAGAACATACAGGACACAATAACATCAAGATAGGCAAGATCGTGGTACAGGGGTTCAGGAATATGTATTACGTACCAACAATGATCACGTTCGCTCCACCTGGAAAGGAAGAGAGTCAAAACATGAAACTCAGCACCCATTCAGCACGGTAATTCATCAAACCACACAACATGCAGTATCTCAAATCAGAGCCAATGCACATGGAAGACAATTCAAGTAACACACAGAACGGGACCCCTGCATAGGACAACTCCACAGATTTTAATGTTAAAACACAGATGTATTTACCAGGATACATTTCCACTAGCCCGTGAGTCCATGCCGCAACCTAAGCATGCTCTTTTAGCACTAGATTTTAACTGAAGCTGTTTCAGGAAGCATCAGAGGCTTGCTCCTTAGCAGAATTATCTGATTTGAGGATTCACAGAGGAAGGAAAAAATAGGTATTTTGAAGACAGAAAGGAGGCAGCAAGACAGGTACAGGAGACAGTCACCTCTGCATTCAGGAGTGGGCTTGCTCCAGACTCCCCGGTATTGATCTCCTGCAGTACACTGAAGAAAGGCCCCTCCAACAAGCGTGAAGCCATCATTGCATTCATAAGCTACGGTGGAGCCATGAACAAAGTCTATGCCCTTTGTGCCATTGTGCATCCCGTTGTCAATTGTAGGTGGCCTTCCACAGAGAACGTAAGGGAACTGTCCCATAGGAGGAACATCACCTTTGCATTCAGGAGTAGGCTTGCTCCAGACTCCGTGGTCTTGATGATCTACTTTACAGTGAATAGAGGCTGCTCCAGCAAGGGTGAAGCCATCCTTGCATTTATAAACTACAACAGAGCCTTGGACAAAGTTTGCGCCCTTTGTGCCATTGTGCATCCCGTTGTCAATCATGGGGGGCTCTTCACAGAGAACGTCAAGGAGCTGTCCTATGGGAGGAACATCAGCAAGGGTGTCTGAGTACTTCTTCTAACTGAAAAGGTGAAGAGGTGTATGAGGAGCAGGAGGTACAGCCACATGCCATGCATCTAGGAGCAACTGAAAACACTTCAAGCTTTCTTGCTTGGTACTGGACCTCAGCTACTGCCCGTTAGCCACAACTCCAGGACCTCAACCCATGAAATAAGCCACAGAAGTGCCTAATCAGGCCAGAAGAAATGTTTCAGCCATTTCTAGCTTCACATAACACTATACACTGACTTCATAACACCTGATTTCAGCATTATACCAAATTGAGTGGGCAAAGTTCTAACATCCAATTATCTTCATCTTTCCCTGGTAACTACAGAAAGAAAACCTTCCGCCTGTGACTGTTTTTTTTCTATAATTTCTGCTCTTCCCTTGCTCCTTCCACTTTGTGAGCATAATTTCTGAGTTGTATGAGAATACTGCACCTAAGGCCTCACAGCATGAGTTAGTATTGAAATAATGAATTTTACAGTTGGTTGAATTAAGAAGCACAAGTAAGAGTAGCGCAAGCCCACGAGCAAGGCAGCTACACCAGCGCAGTTCCAACTATTATCTTAATGGCTCTGTGCAGAGTTTTTCCCTCTTACTTTCACAGTATGGAGGTGCGGTATCCCAATCAACTCCATTTTCTGATACCACACATTTGGCAGAAGATGACTTCTTTAATTCATACCTAAAGAAAGAGAAGTTTAGTATTTTCCAGAAGACAACCCAGAAAGGGTTCCTTCCCTTCTTCCCCACCACTACATGCAGGCAAGTTATTAACCAGAAGTTGCCCCTGCTATGAAATGAGATCTGGCCACATCAAAGCCACTAAATAAGGGCACTAATAAGAGCCGGACTGAAGCAGTTCACTGCATTACCAAGCACACGCATGTGGCCACATGCTCATCTCACTGAGGACATAATATACGGTTTCACTGGAGACTTGCACTGGGAAACCAGGGAGGGAGGGGGGTGGTAGATGTTACTGCCTGTGATCCCTGTCTTCTGAACCCCGAGTCAGTCCCTTTTAAGCAGTGATCCACTCACCCAGGATGACAGGTGAATGTCACAACTGTCTCAAACAGGAAATTGTCTGCAATCACATCCCCGTTGTCTATCGTGGGAGGAGTACATTGCTGTCCTACAGGAAAAGAAAGCAGTGCGGGGTATGATGGGCTTGAACCAAATTCCAGAGTAAGTAACATCTCAAGCATTACAGATCACTCGTACAGTCAGTCAAGACAGGAGAGGAACAGATACTCACGTATACAGAAGTCTGGGTCTGCAGACCAAGTTGTATCACTCAGACAGGTGACAACAGAGGACTTTCCACCTGCTGCAGTATAACCCGGTTTACACCGATACCTCAGCTCAGTTCCAGCAAGAGAGCTGTCACCCACAGCCCGTGTTAACTCAGCGAAAGGGAAGCATGGAGCAGGACCACAGTAGACTAACAGTTGGAGAAAAAAGCCAGGTTAGCTACCGAAGAGTACCCACAGGGTCTGCAATAAAACAGTGAACGGCATGTTTTGGAGCACACAACATTTTAACCTGTCTGGATGTCAGTGTCTGGGATACAGTTTGCACCCAACCCATTTAGCAAACAGCAGCATATATCACAGTTTGCTTAACCAGAGAAAAGACGGAGATTGGGTAGCATCTCTGCATCAAAGATGCTCCTCCACTGACCGCCAACCCAACCTGCAGGACCAGCTGGGTCAGAAGCCAAACATCCCCAACAGGTCTGGAAGCTGGTGAAGCAAGCCTGCCAGGTGTAGAAGGCAGTTTTGTCTCTTCTTTCAGTGCACTTTTGGATCATTTGCAGTTCACAAATAAACAGCTTCAGGTCTAAATATATAACTGGCCTGGTCTGCCACGCCGAGAACCCAAGCCAGCATGCTCTGCAAGGGCATGGCTACAAGTGCATGGGGTTCGGAAGCTGATCGGCCCAACAGCTCTTAGATCTACTTCAGTGGCTCAAGGAAACAAGTTTGTTTGTACTCACTTGGGTCACATGTTGGCAGAGGTGGCTTCCAGGTATTGTCTGCTTCACAAGTAACTAGATCACTACCATTCAATAAATGACCAGGATTACACTCAAAGGTCACTGTATTTTTATATGTGTGCTCAGGGCCAAAGCCAGATAACCTTCTCCCATTTTTCACTTCTGGATTTTTACACCTGACCACTGGAAGTGAAGACAAGACAATCAGAATATTTATTACAAGAAGGAAAAGCCCTGCAGTGACACCAGAGGCATTACGCAAGAAGCTTACTAAGAGAACTGCTGTCCTTTCACTCAGAGAGGCAGGTCCCCAGTGGGGGACAGAGGCGTCATTAAGAAACTACACAGGCGAGAGCTTCATTTTTCATTTGCAGGAAGCCCTGGGCATGGGCAGTGAGAGGGAGGCTTTCTGTGGGCTGAAGCATCCATTAAACCAAGCCCTGCCTCTGACCACGACTTGGGAGATCACTGCATTAAGCTTTCTGGGCCTTCTAGAATCAAATCAACTCATGTTTGGCAGCCCATAGGGAAAGTACAGACTGGGAGAGGGATGAGAAACAAAGTCAAAAGAATAAGGAGAAAAAGAAAGCATTTACCTTTGCATTCAGGGGCTGGACTGCTCCATACTCCATTGAGGTTATCATCGCTATCACAGTGAATCGTGGCATCTCCGATAAGAGCAAAACCTTTCTTACAGCTGTAAGTTGCAACCATGCCAAAGGTGAAGTCTGTGTCCCCATTGATGAGCTGCCCATTCTCGATCACAGGAGGTGGTAAACAGAGGATAACTGCATGGGAAAGCAACAGCAAGAAAATGCAAGAACACTTCCATTGAATATGAAACTGAGGTCTAGCTACTAAAAAAACAAAACAAAAAAACAACCCTAACAAAAAAAATAATAAAAGCCAAATAAAAAAACAGGGAAGCAGCCCTAGAGCAATCATCTCAACCTAAAGTCTTGAATGTGCTTTTAAATTCTGGATGTTTTCCAGGGTTTTTTTAAATGGATAAATGGTAAAACGGCAAAACAGCATCTATGGTCCAAGAGGAGACACCACAGAAGAGGCCTTTTGGAGGCAATAAACGTGGTCTCACCAAGCAGTGTGGGACCCTCACCTACTGGTGATGGCATTTCCTACCTCCCGTGTGCTAACCAGGACAAGGCCAGAATACTTATTACAGCAGCAAACCATCTACACTATCAGCAGCTGATGGTCAGGCCCATCGCACAGGATGCTAAAAAAGCCCAAATAGCACCGACAAAATCTTAGCATTTCTTTCTCCTTTGAAAACTGAGATTTTGGATGTGCAGTCATGTCTGAAGGCATCTCAGTCCCGGTCAAGCACAGCTCTTGATAATCAATTCAGCAATGGTTGCCTGCCAGAAAACACAACACAAGTGTTGCAGTGTCCGCACCAGCCTGGCAGAAAGCTTGCTGCACACCTATGCTGGGCAACACCAACCAACAGCCTCGGGAGCTGCTTTTCTCGCAGATCTGACTACAGAGCTGCTGCCAACATCCACAGATGCTCCTCAGTATTCAATTTGCATTCCCAGCTCCACCGACAGTGCTCGTTTGGGGGAGGGCTAAGGAGTCAGTCTCATTAAAGGCCAATGTAATTTGCATTAGGTGCCAAGAAGAGAGTATCCACCTGCCGTTCTCCAAACTACCACATATATTGCAATAGCTTCGAGGAGGAGATGCACACAAAACATTTAAGATCTGCTTACTGGCACAGTGTGGAATGGCATCCCAATAAACTTCATTGTCTTTAAATACACATTGTGCAGATGGCTGCCCATGTAACCGGTACCTAAGAAAAGAAAAGCTTGAATCTCTGGAAAAAGTGGAAAAAACCTTGGGAAATTCAGAAAGTTTCTGAATTTCAGTTTCTAGTGATATTCTCTCGAGGAGCTGAACTAGGGGAAAACCAGCTACCCCTCCTATAAAATACAATTTTCCCAATACTTAAAGAAATGCAATATATGATGCAGTTAGAGGAAATTTAATACTTGCAGTGGGTGGATACAAGCTCACAGGAGTGCGAGCAAGATGGCATCCCCACCCTGAGCCTATTCAGCCCCGTGCTGTGCAGTGGTAGGTCCAAATAGCAACTTATTTTCTGAGCAGAGCTAGGTGTCACTGACATACCTTAACCGCTCTCTTTCCCCCTCGCCCCGCTCCCGGCATCCCCAGGACACCGCAGCCCTCTCTTCCCGAGACCCCTTAGCTAAGACATGGACAGCCGGACCCATCGCACAACAGCAAACGCTCAATTACTAACCAGCACTGACAGGAAAGGAACAAAATTCTTTGCAAAGCAGCCGAAAAGCAATCTGCAAAGACCACGCTCTCACGCCCAGCAGATAATCTGTTTTGACAGCAAGAGCAGGAGAGAGCCTGACCCCCATGGCTCCCCGCTCCAAACACCTCTCGCGGTGCCAGTGCTTGCCAAGGAAACAGCCGCCAGATATTAAAAGCCCCCGAGTCTCCCGTGGGTGCTGTCTCTCAGCGTCAGCTCCGTTGACTCACCAGGAGCCTGGGCCAAAGCTTACCCAACGTTACAGGTGTAGGTTATCGTCGCCCCGAACAGGAGGTTGGTTGTATAGTTAAAGTTGCCATTCATGATGTCCGGAGGACCACAAGACTTTCCTGGAAGGGCAAGTGATCAGCATTAGCTTTATTTTATAGCATGATAGTGAAACACAGGTGACAGTGCTGTTCAGTGTCGTTACAGACTAATTGACCATTTATCGGGCACCTAATCTCCCTCATGAGCAAGTACCAGCACTTTCAGAAAAGATAAAAGATCCACATTAACTTCTGAGGAACTGAAAGTTAAAACACAAATAAAAAGCAAATAAAAGCACAAATAAAGCTAAGGACAAATAAAAAAAGCCAAGGTTCATACACTTACTGAGAAAGGAAACTGATAAAGAGACTAGTGGGCTCAGGGCAGAGGTCTTGCTCCGTAGGGAAACACCACGAAGGAGAAGGGGACAGGGAGGGACCCCCTGGCCGCCCTAGGGCCAGTACAGGTGCATTACGATGGGGACAACTCCCAAGGCCTTTGCCACGCTGTACCTTGTTTCTGTGCGAATATATTATAGCATTTACACTGTATCACCAGATGGTAAAGTAATTAAGAAGGGCAGAGATCATCTCTCTGAGATTAACGTTTCTAAGCGGAAAGGGCAACCCCAGGCAGGCACACAGGGCGAGCGCTTGTCCTCAACTGCGTTAAAAACAGTAACCTGGGGAGCACCCTTCCCAACTGTGCTGAACCACGAGCGGGCTCTGGGGTGCAGCAGGGGATGCGCCCCCTGCCCCGATC